CACAAACACACTCGTAATGACAGGTGCTCTCCATAATAGCATGCGGGCCTGCCGCCACACGCTTGTTTACAGATCACTGCTTGGCCCAGTGTTTGCCTCTCACGCGTTGCCCTTCATTCAGCTTCTTCACACAAACACAGGAGGCGACGCTTTTATAAGCGTTTGAACAACAGGCAGGAATGTGCTGTGTTGCTTCAATAAGATAGACCAGTCATTAAAACAAGGCTGATGTGTGTTTGTGTGTTCAGACTCAGAGAGCGATGATGAGCTGTTTGATGGGCTCGATGTGGCACCAGTGAGGAAGAAGTTGGGAGTACAAAAAGGTAAACCTGCAAGTTACTTGCTGTCACTTTGATTTGCACCAAAGCAGCTGAAATGGATTCACGGGGTCTGAGGAAGTTCAGCTGAGATGATCGAGTAGGCCCTTTAATTTTCCTGAGCGCTGTAGGATATGAATGTCACGACAGGAAGTGATGTCATGTTGCAGTATTTTTTTTGCCCTGAGTACTTCACTGTTACTGTTTGTTTGATTTTGTTTCTTTTGTTCTATAAGTAGAGGGAACTCCCGAAACAACAGCACTCCCTGTGTGTGTGGAGGAGTCTTTACCGCTGACCATTACCGATGCCCAGCCTGCTGCTCATAACTACGTCGACTGCACTGAGTCCAACGGCGAGGAGGAGGAGGAGGAGGAGGAGGAGGAGGAGCAGCAAGGTGACGAGGAAAAGGTTGGAGCCGGACAGCCGGAAGACATTTCATCTCAGCCTCCGAGGTGGGAGGACTTCTTCACCACCGAGACTCTGACCGACAGCCAGAACAGCCTCAGGAGCCAACCACAGTCCTGCTGCTCTGAGATGACGGGCTCGCAGACACCCGATCTGTTCAGCGACGAAGAAACTGCCCCCGATGGCTTCAGCCTGACACTGTCCGGCTCGCAGTCCAATCATTCCTCTCAGAACATGGACTCGTGTTTACCCGACACCCTGATCATCCAACCAGAGCTGGATGGGCAGAAGCAGAGGGAGGAGGGGGATGATGGAATCATCCAATCGGAGTCTCAGCAGTCGTCAGACTTTGATATTCCCTGCACGCCGGAGTCGAAGGTGCCGCGGCGTGATGAGCTGTCTCAGTTGTACAGGAAGCTGGCTGCAGGAGAGGACATCAGTGCTCTGGACTACAGGACCGAACATTAATGGGGAGCTCCTAAAAAAAACTGTGCAAACTAGAAAAGTAAAGCCTTAAAAAGCAGCCGGACGAGGCCAAAACAAGCAAACCACACAGCTACCTCCGTTTTAGTGACGAACCTCCAGCTCTGAGATCCCCCACTAGCACACTGGGGCAGGAGGAGAGGTTAACATGCATTCAGTACCTGCTTCCAGCATGAAGAGTTTCTCAGCCTAATTAGAGAGCATAAATAGACCAAACTTTAACGTAATTTTCTTCAGACCTGTCGTTCTCACTTAGACCCTTAAGCTGTCACATTCCTTCTGCAGGCTGAGCTGAAACGTCCTCTCCTCCAGCGTCAGTGTTGGCCTCCAAACCCCACAGACTTCAGTTTGTTAAACCACACACTCGTTCCTGCGCACTTTAAGCCTATTGGTGGATTCTCGCACCTGTGCAGGTCACAGCTGACACTCGTTCCCTCTCTGCTGGCAGTTTGTGGTTTGTTCTGCTTCAGCTGCTGACAACAGGAGGGGAATGTTTGCATTAAAGCTAAAGTTTTGTTCCAGAAACAAATAAAATATTTATTTTTAACTCAGGTGTTATGGCTGATTATTCAAATCAAAATGGTAAATGGCCTGTATTTGTATAGCGCTTTACTCGTCCCTAAAGACTCCAAAGCGCTTTACACATCCAGTCATCCACCCATTCACACACACATTCACACACCGGTGATGGCAAGCTACATTGTAGCCACAGCCACCCTGGGGCGCACTGACAGAGGCAAATGTTGTGTTTGATGGGAAAAAGCAGTAAGAATGCCAGACATTGCGAGTTTTTTTCCCCCCAATAATTCCTAAAATAAGTGGAAGAACTGCTCGACCAAAGCTGTGGTTGTGTAATGCACTGCAGCTCAAACTGAATCATTTTTACTATCCATGATGACATCATCAAAAATTCCAAAACTACAAATATATTCTGTATAACAATAATAAAGCAAATCTTTACTCTATAGAAACTGAGTTGGAATCATTTAGCTTTAAACCAGGTTTTTCCAGCTGCATGTGAAACAGCTGCTAGCTATCTGCTCAGCTTCACTTCAGCTTACTGAAGTCCCAGAACTGGACGTCTGCACCTTGTTGGTGCTGTTGAAGGATTTTTAATGCAGCTGTCTGACCAATAATTCTAGTTTCTAGGCTAATTTAGCAGGTAACCAAGTGAGGACTCTCACTCAAAGGACTTTTTTGCTACCAGCCTTATTCACTCAGTGTGTTCAAGTGCTTTTTTTTCTGCATTTCAGCACTTTTGCACAGTGCTGCTGAGTACCGCTGCTGGAGTTTGAATCCAGCCTTTGTCCTGATGTGTGGAGTTGTGCTCCACCTATTATCTGGATGGATATCTCCAAGTACTCTGGCTTCTTTCCATGGTCCAAACACATACATGGATCAGATTAACGTCCCTTATCTTTCCAGCCCTGGAGTTTTCCAGTGGAAATAAAGGAAAGGAACCAACTTACCTGAAGCTTTTGTCCTTCGAAAATTACATGCTTCATAAAATCTACTTGGAACTCAGAAAAAATAATTATCGACTGTCAGAGCGACAGTCGGACAGTTATTGTCTGTATCGTGCTTCTAACATATAACACGGAGGGTTAAAAGTGAACTTAACTGCTGGTTTTCTCCTGATGGCTTTAGACACATGGTCGTCTGATTTATTTACAGACAGAAACAAAAAAGCTTTTTACAGTTGATCTAAAACTCAAAGGTAATTAACACCATAAATGAATGCAGTTCATAAGGTTTACAGTGAATGCTAGAAATTTTTTCATCACGACTACCACCACACTTTGCCCAACATCAAAGATTTGTGGCAGATTTTCACATTTTAGAAGCTGGAAGAGCTGCTTTAGAAAATCAAAATAATAACTGCCGAATGTGGATCAAGATGTCGTCCACTGAAACTTTGAGGAGAAGGAGAGAGCCGGTGTTGTGCCAAAAAGTGATTGTCTGCCAAAAACTGATTTCCGGTATTTGCCAAAAACTGATTGCTTGTATTTAAACTGCTATAAATAACTTGTTGGTGTATAATATGTGAAACATATGTCAAATGTATCCCTCATGAATGATATCACGTTATCTTGAGCAACAAACAACATTCTTGTAACAAGGTAGAAGCCGCAATCACTTTTTGGCAGTGACTTTTATGTATCCTTTATGTATGCAGTTAAAAAAATTTTGTTGACATTAAAAATGTCTCTTTTAAGAGTATTCTGGCCAAGAGGACAGCTGAAATTGCAACAAATGTGAAAATAGTTCTGTAAATATATTTTAAGTGGACAAAAGGGAGCTGATTGATTATAATGTAAGTGCAATAACACAGTCACGAAGATACTTGAGAAACAGGTAATAATCCCTTTGTAATACCTGTTCAAAGTCTATTTAGCAACATACATAACGATATTACACATAAAAAACAAAACAAAACACGCAAACATTGGAAATCAGTTTTTGGCAGGCAATCATTTTTTGGCACAACACCGGCACCACTGAAGCTGGATGACGGCAGGTTTCCTGCTCAGTTTCATTTATGTGTGAATACTCTGAGGAGGCGTATAAATTCCAGGGAATTTCCTTGAACTTGTATAGTATGGTTTTTAGGTAACTAAGGTATTATTCATGTAAGATAGACAGCAACTTCTTACTCACAGGTCATAGACTGCACCATTTTTACCCCAAGCGGATCAAAACCTATATAAAATGAACATCATGTTTTATTCAGTCAAACTTTAGGTTTGCACCTGAGACCATAAAATCATCAGCAGGTCATAAAGGAAGTGTGAACTGGAGCAATTTCCCCTAAACTTCATTTTCCCCTACAAGATGGGTTGCCCCCTGCTGGCCATAAGAAAGAATGCAGGTTTATTCCACTTCTTGTTCCTGGGGAGCCACGCCCATTCTTTATAGTTTACATCTGTGGTTACAACAACTGGAGAAGGCAACATTTACGTCATAGTATGCCAAAGTTTGGTTGGAGTCCACAGCAAGTCCAGCATTACTGTGGCCGTGTGCAGTGAACTTTAAAATGAAATCATGAAAATAAGATGGGCTGAAGTTGCTGAAGTTGGCAATTACATGCAGTCTGTTTGTGCTGATAAGGCAGTTAACTGTAGTGAAGCATTAAAAATCTGTTGCCACATAGGCACTTCATAGACTTCAAACAGAAAATCTTCCACAAATAGTGACGTAGTTGCTGCAGGACGGCAATTTAACAGCAGAATGAAACAGGCGCTGAGCAACCTGGTATTAGGAACATAACCATTCTGTAACCAGCTGAGTCCTGTGCTGCTTTGAGATGCATTGCAGATGAATTGCACTAAGTGGTGCAAAATGACTGAATGATAGCATTGTATTGGCAATCGGTCAAATTATTTGCAAACCTTCGCCAATCAATCCAAGAGCAACTGCAGACAGTCTGAGTCAAACTGCAACTGTTTGTAGACAGTCGCCAAAAGTTGATTCTGTTCATCTGGACGTAGCGTTTTCAGTGGGAGAAACGTTTCGTCACTCATCCAAGTGACTGACTGCAGGTTTCTCCAACCTTATAGACAATACATTTGCATAATGACTGAAACTAGCACCACTGAAGTAACAATGGGCTGTGAGGTCAGTTCGTCAATCATTAATATGCAAATTCTCATGACAACAACCACTGATCAAAAATCACGATTGAAGACCACTGATCAATGGCCATGAGTACCATACTGTTTATAAGGTTGGGGAAACCTGCAGTCAGCTGAGACTGAAGAACTCACTTGGATGGGTAATGAAACGTTTCTCCCACTGAAAACGCTACATCCAGATAAACAGAATCAACTTTTGGGGATTTACTTACCTGGATGATTGAGCATACATCAAGATGTTTGCCGACAGGTTCCATCCCACAAGGCTACCTGTGCAATTGCATTGGGATCAAATGTAATTGCCCAGAGGTTGAGAGTTTTGTATGCTTAACTTATGGGTAGTCTTTTAGTTTGCAACAAACAATTCAACTAACAAATTTCCCTATCTGCCAGAAGGTTGCCAGAGGAAAAACTCTAATGTGACTGAGCTGTAAGCTGCATATTGTGTTCTGTGAGCAGTTTAATCTCACGTGAATCATTCAAAAATTGTAAAGCCATTGGCTGACAATACAAAAACATATAAAGCATACCTAATGACTTAATTTTTCAATGACAAGAGGAGCTATGCCATAATATTCACAAAAACTGAACAAAAGTAATAGGGACAGATGGCAGCTACCAATCACTCCAATGAGGCCAAATGCTGAGCTCCCACTGGTGCATCTGCCTGGAATAAAAAGCCTGCAGCGTTACGTCGCCTGAGCAGCAAACTGTGACCAATTTGAATGTCCAGGTCCAAATCTACGTCTGGACTCTCTAACCAGTTTGTCAGGGTTGCCGCAGTCAGCTGAATCAGGTGGAGTTGATCCCATTCAAGCCTCTGAGGGGACGCTGAGAGATGAAATTGGCTCTGCTGGGTGCTGCTGCTGCTCAGTGGAGACTCAGTGGGTTCCTGATGACAACACAGGAGGAGCTGATGAACGCCTGCAGGGTTTCTTTTTCCTCACTCGACAAACTCTCTCACGCTGTGTCATTCTTCCTCTGTACCTATCAGTTCACAGAGAAGCACAGACTGAAATAGGCTTCGATGGGCAGCATTCGATCTATACAGAGCTCTTAGTTTGGATGTCAGTGTGACCTAAAGGTCATTACTGGTATTTTCTTTCTTATTTTAGTCTGTTTGCCATTTTTGCACCTTTTTGCCATGTCTTTATATTTCAAAGTGTGTTTTTCCATACTTTTCAGGTCTTTACTGGTGTCATTTTATTTTTATACCTTACACATACAGTATAAAGTATAAAAAACAGTTTTTCTATATTTTATATATTAGGGATGGGTATCGTTTAGGTTTTATCCGATACCGGTGCCAAACTGGTACTTTTGAAACGGTGCCGGTGCTTAAACGGTGCTCAAACCGGTGCTTAAAGAATGGAGAACACAAAATTGGTCCAAAAACCTCTCATGTTCAGCTGTTTTTTTTGTAAAAAGATAACAATGTTAGCCTTTTCTGCAGCTATGGGGCATATATGGTATCACTCTTGGCTGGAAGCAGTGCTTAAACAATGGAAAAAACACAAACTTTGTCCAAAAACCTCTCATGTTTAGCTGTTTTCCCTCTTTTTCTTTGGTCATTTTAGCCTTTTTGGCCAGGGTGAAGGGTCTGCTCATCTGCCAGGTCAGAGCTAATCAAATACGGCGCATTTCTCGGCTTTTAAAAAACGCTATGCGTCGCCAGGTGTTTCATCGGATTTGAGGTGTTACCTCCTTTGACAGTATCACAGTATCAGCTTAAAGCACTTGTTGCAGGCTGCTGAGTTTGCATCTTTTGCTGTGAAGTACAGCCAGACTTTTGACCGCTTCGCCTTGGGCATTTTTAATCTGTAGCTCTGCTCTAAAAGAACGTACGTACCTGGCCCCGCCTACTATCCTCGGAAACATAAAATGATTGGCTAGAATCTAAAGTGTATCACAGCTCAGGAAAAAAAAGCACCGAAATAAAGCACCGAAATGTGCGCTGCTTTTCGGTCTGGTTACTACCGTTTATGTCAGAACCGGTGCCATCATGGCACCGGATACCGGTACCCATCCTATTATATATGTTGTTGTTTTTTTAAATATTTTTTTTAACACTTTATTAAACCTGGATTACTCTTGAACAGTTCACCTCTTATACTTTGTTCACAAGTCTTTCACAGCTTACTGAGCTCAGCTGCGGTGTTACTGCCCTCTGATGGTGTTTTCATGCACTATAGTGCATAACACTGTGTCCATATCTGTTTTTTGGCTGCGTTAAAATGTTTTAAATACCCTAATGTATCATCATACTGCCCGAGCCTTGAATTGAGGATCCACGTCACTCTTTAATGGTGCATGATGGAAAGATTGTACAATGCAAAGACACACTGGCCCTTTTACCACTGATGTAACATCTCAGCTCTCATTAATGAGACTGTGGAGAGGAACCAGGGGAGGTCGTCACTCACACAGTGAAGCATGCACAGGCTTGGCTCTTCATTAAAACCAGAGTCAGTCCCCCCACAGCGGTTTCCTGAGGGATAGCGAGTCTCTCGGAGGCTCTGCAGCAGAGGATGAGTTCATTAATTAACTTCCACACACACTCAAACAATATGTTAAATGCACTCGTAGCATCACTACATTATATAATACAGAGCTGACATTGCACACATACAAACACACACACAACACACACAACAAACACACACACACACACACACACACACACACACACACACACACACACACACACACACACACACCACAACACACACACAAAGACACGCACACACACACACACACACACACACACTAATAATAAAACGCTAACGAACACACAGCGTGCCCAGAGTTCTCTCTCTCCCAGGCTCTCGTGACCCTGAAGATCCAACAGGAAATTGAGGATGTGCTTGTTTACTTGTCATGAGTTCTGATCATATTTGGGATATAATGTGGGCAGAGACATTAGGTTTATGGCACTGTGGTTCCTCCTTGTTTATGTGTTCAGACTTTGCATTGCACTCATTTTCTTTGCTCCTACTCAAAACAGAACAACAGCTCCATCATAACCCCATAGCAAACAAACCAGGACGCAGAGCATAGAAACTCATACAAGGTCAAAGGAGGTCAGACTTAGTCTGGTAATCATTTATGTCATTATATTCAATTGGTTTAGATCACCTGCATGTCACAGTTTATTGGATTTGAACACGCCTGGTTTTGAAACAGCTTCCATTATGTTCTGTTCAAAAGTCTTGAGCCACCCCTCATTTCTTTATATATTCCTTCCAAGCAGTCAGACTTGGAAGGTGCCCTTTACCAGTAGTTCTCCAGGTTTTCTGCGAAAAATTCTTTCAAAAATTTTCTTTGGACATTGGCTTCTTTTTTCCTCATTTTCAGTCCACTTCTTGTACATGAACATTTTCAGAGGAATTGTTTTGTTTGTTAAGCCTCTGAAATCTGACCTATTAATCATTTAAGCATAAAAAGCCACCTAACTCATGAGACAACTTAGCAAGAAACCAATCTTTAGACACCTCGTTACTAGCAGCCTGTTACAGAGACACATTCGTTTTCATTTATTTAGTTCAGTTTACAAAAAATGCCAAAGATAACACAATTTAACAGACATAAAATAATATTTTTACACCAACTAGGTGATTCCCAAAGAACTGATAGCTGAAGACTTGCATACCTCATCAGAAGGGTGCAGTTTGTCCTTAAACCAGAAGAATAAACTGTAGAGGTGTAGGACTACGTGAAACCATTTAAGACCTGATGGAGAGATGAACCCAAATCAGAAAGTTTTGATTCTAATCATCATCAGTATGTACAGAGGAGGTCAGGAGAGAGGTGTAACAGTGATCAGCCACTGGTGTTGGAGTATGGTGGAATAATGAATACAGAAATGAATACAGACGATAAAATAAATAATTGCACCCATTTTCCTATCAGAACAAATAAATGAGGGGTGGCTCAAAACTTTTGCACAGTACTGTATTTAGCAAGCACTTCAGCTGTAGACCATTGGAAACTAAATCCAGGTGTAGAAAACCATTTAAGTTAATCCAATTTAAGTGAATGAAATGCAATGTGACATTGCTGTGGGATAGATGAAACATGTCTATAAATGGGAGTATCAGCTTAGAGGTGTCTTTCTGCTTGAACATCCTTACTCAAATCCAAAAAATAGGAAATGAAAGAGGTCCCAAAGTAGATTCCCGTGGGAAAACATTAGCTTAGATCTGGATATCTTGAGGTTCCTAAACTGCAAAGACAAACTAGTTCTACAGTCTGAGTTCTCTACACGAATTTTATCCAGTTTAAAAAGAGTCCTTCCTCCTCACTTTCACCAGGTGCTGCTCATGGGTGAGATCATTGGAGTTCTCAATCTGATGTTGCAGAATCTACCCCTTATGAAAGTGTCTGGAGATCACTGCTGATGTGAAATGGTGCTGTATAAGTATAAAAAAATGAAATTGCTATCAGCTGATACCGTGGATGTGTTACCTCTGAGTGAGCCAATCTGGACTTGGGGTATGCTGCTCAGGTCTGTAGGCAACCCCACGTACACACCTCCATAGTTCCTGATCTCACACAACACACACACACACACACACACACACACACACACACACACACACACACACACACACACACACACACAGAGAGTCAGCTGCACAGATCAGCTCATTAGACATATATTGGATGACTGTGACGAATGAGATAAAAAGATTTTATAATCAAAAATGAATGACTGACTTCCGTTTGTCATCTTCTGGCACTGACTCAACTGATCTGTCGGCACACACGCACGCACAGAGTCAGCTGATTTACGTTAACAGACAACATGAGAAAAAGGTCAAACAACAGTGACATGTTTCAAGATGAAAATATGTTTGAAACTTTACTCACAGCTTTGATGAAAACTCAGCAGGATCTGAAGTCAGTGACAGAAACGAGATCAATCGAGAGTTAAATTCATTCCTGCTCACTGAAATCACTTTGTAAAAAAACAATTTTGACATTTTCACACACTGAAAATTCCGTATTTGTTTTATCTAGAGCAAAGAGCTACGGTGAGAAAGTAGACAGGCATGAAAACTTTATTTTGGGTATTTGTGGTGAAAACTTTGTAAAATTGGAAAAACTGATGATTTGTTTTTCAAAAGTCAGATTCAAACAGCTGTGACAGCTCAACAATCACCAATAATTTCCTCACCAGATAAATGATCTTTGACACTTTGACACATTCATCTTCCTGTCGTGTTTTATAAACTTTTCTCATTAAATCTTGATTATTAAAAGTTTCTCCCTCTCATTTCTCTCCGTCCATCCTTCTCTTCCTTCCTTCCTTCCTTCTTCCTTCCTTCCTTCCTTCCTTCCTTCCTTCCTTCTTCCTTCTTCCCTTTATTTTTTCTTTTTCTTCATTTGCTTCTTGCAATCCTTGTTTCCTTCCTTTTTCCTTTTCTTCCTTGTTCCTGTCCTTCCATGTTTCCTTTCTTTCTTTCCTTGTTCCCTTCCCCATTACCTTATTTTTTCCTTTCCAATTTTCTTATGTTCAAAATTTAGGGTATGAGGTCCCCATACTTAATCCTCAGATAATTCTAATATTTTATTGGGAATAAAAATGTGAAGCATTTCACATTAAACTGTTGTATAACATGTGCATCAGTAGCAAATATGCCCAACAACAAAAAGGAGACAAAACAAGATCCCAAAAAAAAAAAAAAAAAAAAAAAAAATAGAAAAATGACTCAATGGATGAGGCAGTTTTTAAATCCACCTGAAAGTGGCCCAGGACAACCAGGAGAAGACAAATTAGTTCAAAGACAACACCAACCCACCCCCACCTACCCACCCCACAAAGGTTATATCATAACTGTTTCATGACAACATCAGCCTGTTTTCTAAAAAACCCCACTGATGTCTGACCATTGACCTATGACCTTGAAGCTCTATATACTTAAAAGGTAGATTTTTTATTATCTTTACCCAGATGACTGAGCAGAACTGGCTTCGAGATTTTAATCTATATTCATGCAGTGTGTGACTCTGTGAAAGTTTGACATCACTATGACATCATAGGATGTCTTATTAAAAAAATGAAAAAGTGTGTTGCACGGCTCCCACCATGCTCTTTAATATTATATATTACTCGATATTGTTTCTTGAATTCTTTTTTTCAAGGTCAACTTTGACCTTGGGCACTAACAATCAAGGTCAAATCCTTAGCCAACTTAACTACTCAAGTTCTCCAAGACCTCGTATAATGTTGTGAAGTTTGAAGACGATCTTTGAAAAATTGTGGGTAATATACAGTTGTTACAGATTTGTACATCTGGTGTGACCTCGACTAGATTTTCACCAAAATTAAATCAGCTCGAGCTGTTATTGGTATCGATCATCAGATAAAACCTGAAGATAATATCTTGAAAACTACAGACGCTAGACTTCTAACAAACAGACAGACAGACAGACATAAACAAATGGAAATGATTCTCCCTCCCTTCAGAGAACAAACCAGGAGTTTCAAAAAATGCACAAGAAAAAACAAACAAACCCCAACCCAAAATGAGATGGAAAATGAGGTAAGTCATAAAGACATATCAGTCCATCAGATAGTGACTCACATGACGCTTAAAAACAACCAACATGGGAGACGAATCAGCAGAAAGAGACCGAAAACAAATAATAATAATAAAAAAAACAGACACTAACAGAAAATTACTCACAAAACCATCCTGAAGACACACACAATGACTAAAATCACACACTAAATTATTTTGAAACAACCCAAATGATAACAATAAAAAAGTACAATCAGTCGATGCTGATTGCTTTTAATTATAGTTAAGTAAAAGCACAAGTGAACTTTGAAACAGCAAAACACCACAAACTGCAACTGAAACCTTACAGATGAATTGCTTTCCAGCGTTTCCAGGAGTGTCAGAAATCCCTGAAAACTTTAATTGATTTTGAGCAGACAGACGTGGACTGCTTTCACCTCCTACAGCTTCCAAAGTCAAAAACTCTACAGACTGGACCGCTAACACCTGCAGGACATAAAAAAGTTACTAAAGCACCTTTAGTAACTCTAAAGGCAAAATAAGACACCTTAAACCTGCCAGCTGCTTCATATGACTAACAGTATGTTCAGTTTTTCAGTGTCCTCACCTCTGCTGCGCTTGCTGCTGCTGTTGTTGTTAGTCATGTGTTTGGCTGGAGAGGAATTTCCACATCCCATTTCAGAAAGAAAAGGAAAAAACAGTAGCGAGAGGAGAAATGGAGCGAGAAGAGTGAGGACAAAAACGTCTCTTATCTCGCTCTTACTCTCAGCTGAAGCTCCCAGTGTAGAGAGGATTAGATGATGGCAAGGGAGGGAGGGAGGGAGGAGAGACGGAGAGTGTGTTGACCCCTGCTGCTGAGGGAGTAGAACTTCAAGTGTGTGTTTCAGAGTGTGTGTGCTTTAAAATCTCTGCGCAGTTTTGGAGGAAGCAGATCAAAGTCAGCTAGAATTGATTTAATTGGTGCATTTCTGCTCAAATGGAGCTGAAACAGGATTAGAGGAAAGTGGTGACAGAAGAGCGGGAAGCACACCTAAAGCATAGATCGGTTACTGATCAGGCCATCCAGGAACAGGACTGGGGAACCTGATCTGAAAAATATACAAGGACAACTCACGAAAGGGAAACAGGATAAGACAACAAAGTATGAGGAATATACAAAAATTAATACCACAAACAGACAGAAAATGGCCACAGAGATCACAAAGAGATGCAATTTATCACCAAAACTGCCAAAATAAAACCTCAAACCAGCACATTGTGCAAAACAAACTTCAGGCCTTAAACAAAAATGGAGGACACTGTAAAGTTGTTTTTTGTGTTGCGAAGTCCACAAGTACGACAGCTTTTTTACTAGAACCTCTTAAAACAACCTGGAAGATGGAATTTTATCACCTCAGCTCCAAGATGTCAAAAACATTTGGGACATTTTGGGACCCTCCATTCATTTTGGTGTTTGTTGTGAATGCTCCTCATTACCACCCAAAGGTCACAGAGTGGGAAATAAAAACTTCCACTAAAATAAAGCCAACAATAAGTCTGCAGTGAGTGTTTAGTGTTCCCTGAGCAGGTTGGATCTGTGGTGTCTGGCTCTTGACGTCAGCTGTTGTCGAGAAGAAAGCAGTCTGTTCGGAAGTACTTTTATTATTGTTCTTGGCCTCCAGCCTCCTTCCTCACTGCTCCTTCTGTGCTTAAACCTACAATGAGTCATGCCACCCACACTCTAACCTCATATCCAGCCTCGTTGCTGCTCTCACCTCAATTACAGGCGACAGCAAAGTGACTTTCAGGAAATAATTGATTGTTCCCGCCGTCTCCAGCAGGAAGTGGAAAATGACTTCTGGACTCGTGCTGAGAGTTTTTCATCTTCACCAAAAAGTTTCAGCGTGCCGAGTTTGGAAGATTTGATGATAAGATTTTGCTACTATAATAAAACAAGGATGACACGTTCCTTCAGCGGCTGCATTAGAGTGAACCAGAGAAACAGGTCAGAACAATTAAAAATTAAAGGAAAGAAGGATGTCTTAAAGGTGAATAATTTGGAATTACAAGCTCTATTGTATGTTCACTGATGAAAACACTCTTTCTCTGCAGGTCTGAAACAAGCAACCTTCAGACCTGCAAAATGAAGCCATTTTATAATGCATCTTTTTGGATTTTGCTTAAAATAATGTGCAGCTGCAGCTGAGCGCTGTCTGTAAGGCTTCTGCTTAAAAATTCAACATGGCCGACGCCATCAATGCTAACGCTCAGGCTGCAAAGATGACGTCATGCTGGTTACATCCACCAGGCTTTCATCTGACACATAAATTTTTTATGTGATCTTTTATTTATACACGAACTGATGTCATGCATCATTCTTGGGCTTGTCTGCAAAACATGTCCAATGCAAAAGACATTCAGGTATCGATACAAAGAGTTCAACATTGTTTAAGCAGAGAAATAATAATCAATCATAAAGTTTTCCAGCTGCACAAATCTGCCTAATTCCAGGAAACAGAGGCTGTAAATGAGAGCAGGGTGCAGAACAATCTGAGGTACAAAAGGAAAATTGACCAAACAATAGAAATTTTAGAGAAAGAACACATAACCCAAAGTGTAATTCCACATTAAGGACACAGGCGGGCAGTATTGTCATGAATGTGCTGCAGTGGGAAGTAGGAGTGAGTCAGAAAGAAGCAGCATTTCCATCAACTGTTGAAAAAATAAATCAATACAAAGTTTTTTTTTTAATTTCTATCTCTGCTCCATTTTCTTTTAGGGAAGAAAAAGTGCAAGAGCTGTCTGCTCTTTGGTCCCTCTACCATCTCACACTTCTGTTTAAGCAGTTTTCTGTTTGACATTTATTCAGCTGTGTGAAAACTATAAGTTTAATCTCAGCCAAACCGATTTATTGGGGAACAAATAAAACACTGAAAAAACACCAAACAATAACATTTTTAAGTTATCTAAGTGACTTATATAGCATGTTTAACCTGAGTAGTGAAAGACCGTGGGGGGTTTAAAAACAATGTGCTGGGAGTTCGCTGTTCTTGCTGCTCTGGTGAGCCTTGACCGCCCGGTCTGCTATTGAGGTGGTGGGTAACAGACGTCTCTGAAAACGTTGGAGCACTTTTGCAAAAATGTGATATATTGATAAATCGAGCAGATATTTGAAGTTTACACAGATACATTCTCACCTGAAAATATCTTAAAAGTTTATTTTGTGACCCAGAAAGAGTAATATTAAAACTATGCAGCTGCTGCCATCGTTGTTTTCCCAAAGATTCCAAACTTACTTGAATTTTCTAAAAATGATATTATCTTTGGATCTCTAAGAAAAGAAAAGAAGCTTGAAAATGTTCTAAATGTAATATTTATTATGGGTAAATTCTTCATTCACAAATGTCGTTTTCTGAAAACAAAGCTGTCCTTTTTTACTCTTCACAAAGAACTCTGCCTCTTCTTCTCATCTGTAAAGTTTATGGACAAAAAACAAGCTCTGGATCTGTATCATATGATTAATGAACTAGATCTGTTAGAAAACCCCTAAGGTATAACCTCTTTTATGTCTTTTAATTATCTTTTGTTTGTTTGTTTTGTTTTTTTGTTTGTTTTCTTTGCTTTTGTTTGGGATTTGTTTTTGTTTTATTTATTTATTTGCTGTTGTTTGTACTTCCTGTTCATTATCTATCTTCTGTATGTTGGAATACAGCCTGTTCTGATACTATTTCAAGTTGGGAAAAAAATCTTTGTAGAGATTGCCAGATTTGTTGTACCCCCCCCAAGAGCGCCTGGCTGCAGTCACTGGGGAGCAACATATTGCAACCTTCACACTAACC